TAGACTAGAGGGAAGGTAGCTAATTAACATACTAGTTAGTTGGCCACGTCTGGCCATTTAGTGTAAAAAGCTGATTTCTATGAAAATGAAACGTTGGTAGCCATATTTTTATGTACTCTGTATATACTACCAACCGATAATTCGTCGTTTATAACGAAGTTTGGGAAACGAAAAATAAACATTATCAATGCATTCAATCGTGGTTCGATTTCCTTTCTAAATTGTACGAAGTAAAACATAAACTATCTTGACCAACCGGTTTCTGCAAAAAAATATGGCAGTTTAAAGGGCGAATCTACTTGAAAAAATCAGTTAATTAAATATTTAAATAACTACATAATATATATATAGTTTAAAGCTATAGTTGATTCTCTGACTATAAAAATCATTATGCATCCAGCGTTAATGTTGTTGTAAATGTATTGAATTTGCTTTAAATACTTCTATTACTGGAAAATAGATGCTTTTTAGTATAGTAATATGAAATTGTTCTGCAGGAATTATTTTACACCTCGGACTTACATATATTTCAAGAAAAATATTTTACGTCAAAATCCTACATTTTGTATGTAGCATTCCGCAAGTCCCGTAGAATCCGCAAAGACATGGCATGTACTACTACATGAATTTTGTAGTGCGGCCACATTTCCGCTGAGCAGTCCATTAGATTCGGCGGATTGTCCGATGAATTCATAAGAGTTGGCCCGTTAATGCGATTCCAAAATAAAAAGTTTCCGTTATTCAAGCGTGTATATATATAGAGAATGTTTGCATAGGAAAGTGATGTATACGTTTTTCTTTTAAACCAATTTGAGAATAAAGAAGTAAACCTAAATGCCTTCGAAAAAGTTTTCAGCGTTCGATATAAATTCTGAAGTGCACACTCGTCAGCTATAAAGTCTGTAAACTTTCCAATTTCATTCGCTTTCTATTGATGAACACCCTAAATGATTCACAGTGTATTTGATTTGATACAACTCATGTTCACAAGAAAGGATAGCACTGGAGTTATCATGGTTTAATTTCACGTTATTTAAAGTTAGGGTAGAAATAAGGTAACCTGTCTACGACTTTTAATTGAATATTTTGTTAATGTTGTGATTTTAGACAAGTTTTCTCAAAACCTTTCTTCAATCATGTTACGATTACCTAAGTGCATGTAAATATATGTTTAGATACACATGTACAGGATGAATATCAGAATCTACATGTCAAAACCGTATGTGTGTCTCGCTCAAACTATAAGTGTAAATACACATGTATACGTTGAGGTTCAGAACCTATATTAAACATAACTATACGAGTATCTCGCTTCAACTATAAATGTAAATGCATGTGTATACGTTGAGGATCAGAACCTATATTAAACTTAACTATACGAGTATCTCGCTTCAACTATAAATGTAAATGCATGTGTATACGTTGAGGATCAGAACCTATATAAAACATAACTATATGAGTGTCTCGCTCCAACTATAAATGCACATGTATACGTTAAGGATCAGTACCTATATTAAACATAACTTTTAGAGTATCTCGCTCCAACTATAAATGTAAATACACATGTATACTTTGAGGATCAGAACCTATATTAAACATAACTGACCAATGAAAGTCTCGCTCAAACTACAAATGAGTGAAGCTCTGCAAAAATGATCTTAACTAGTTAACATGTGACTTTAAATATCGTAAGTTTTCATTCAGTATAGTTACTGTGATGCAGATTGATGTTCATATTTATCTATAAAAATATCTCATCTCATGTATGAATTTTTACATTTGCAAGAGAGAGTAACACAGTTGAATCTGCGTACCTAGCACGATTATATTATTTCAAACAGCTAAGCCTAAACAGGCATACAAAGCAAATATATAAAAGCAGGGTACGAAGAATATTTTAATAATGATCAAATAAGCCTTACTGAGGGAGGTACCTACTAAAAGTAAAATAACATTTCAGTTCGCCATTCCTACTGTGTATTTGTAACCTAGCTTTATTTGTCTCGCCTATATGTGGAAAGTTATTTGTTATTGGTCTAATTGTTTGGTATGACAGCTAGATAGACACAGATATTGGGTAGCAAATTATATACAGTCCATGGATAGGATATATAATTGATATGTTACCTTTAAGAGCTCGTAACGCATTTACTTTAGAGATATCTGCGCAGGAAATAGGTGTGACCAAAGTGCGCCCTCTTTCGCGAACAAAACAATCGATTTCGCGTTAGAGTATACGTCGGACATCGAGAGCCATGACGAGAAGACTGAAGGACGGCGTTTAGAGTAAACGTGGTGCACATCAGTGGGCGTTCGGACCACGTTTGTAACCTACTTGTCAAAGGTTATCAAAAGATGGACTGTACTGTACTGTACCTGGTGGCCAGTAACAATTATAGGTAATGATTCTGAATTTAATTTATTAATATTTAACACTTTAAATCAAGATTGAAAAAATCTTAGAAATTTCTTGATAATCCTAATTATCTTAAGTACTTCAGAAAGTTCACTTACACCGTGCTTGTTTCTGGCATTGTAGAATATTAATTTTAATACTGAAATAACTTTGAAGTATCAGTTTATTAAGTTATGTCACATATAAGCTAAGTAACGGATTCCTCAAACGTTACAGTATACTTGTATGTTATATGTCAATGATAATAAATTCTAGGTTTCTTCTATGATAGGTAATACTTGTTAAAGAATGATAAAGGTCAAAGAGCACAAATGATTCGTTTATTATACCAGAACATCTCACAGCAAGATCTTGTATCTTGAGGCTGGAACAGTGAATAATTGAAATTTGTTGGTTTCAGGTTTTCGCACAAAGCTACAAAAAGGCTATCTATACATTGTCATCCCAAATTTTCAGTTGATAGACAGCTAGCTAGTCAACACCACTCTTTTGCCAACTCTTGGTCTACTCTTGTCCAACTAGTAGGATATGACTGCCGCTCTTATAGCGCACTCACACCACCAAAGTCCGAGTGCTCTATCCATTAGAATATGCCTAGCCCAAATATTTGAAGCTTGAATTTTCTTGATAAACCTTTATTTTTGTTTTTATGTTAATTAAAACATCGATAGGCTAGTGTGCCGGATCCGAGGTTCTTTGGTTTGCGTATCGTTAACACACACACACACACATCACCAAAGTCCGAGTACTCTATCCATTTGAATATGCCTAGCCCAAATATTTGAAGCTTGAATTTTATTGATAAACCTTTATTTTTGTTTTTATGTTAATTAAAACATCGATAGGCTAGTGTGCCGGGTCCGAGGTTCTTTGGTTTGCGTATCGTTAACACACACACATCACACTCCGCACTTTACAGTCGTGGGACTATAATAAGAGTGAAGGTCAAATCGCACTATTAGGTCTGAAAAGATTAGTCCAAGAGTTGACGGTGGGTGGTTTAATAAGTTGCCTTCCCTCTAGTCTATCACTTCAAAATTAGGGACGGAAGAAGCGCAGATACCCTGGTGTAGCTTTATGCGAAATTCCACATAACAAACTTACATCGTGGAGATATAATAAAAACTTTGCTATCACAACTGTATTATCCTCTGTAACAACTAAACTTACATCGTGGGGATATAATTAAAACTTTGCTATCACAACTGTATTATCCTCTGTAACAACTTTTGCATCACGAGTACAACATGGTATCTTTCGACAACAAACTGTCACTTGGAGCACTTTAATGTGACATGCTACGATCTGATAATCAAACAAAAACGCACAAACATGTATTTGATGTGTATTTGCACGTCGTTTCGAAAATCCAAATGTGTTCATCTGTATGTTATCTACATCAAGATATATTCCAAAATAAAAATGTAATAAGTATAATTACTTTCAATACAATCAAAGAAAATACCATAGAATTCCTTATGTACGTGACTAAATTTCAGACCATTAAGATACAGTTGATTGTAATACTTTCCTGTTATAAATACTTTTAATTTTATTATGAAACTATAAATTTAGATAAAAAGTAGTTTTTTTTCTTTCACTGCATTTGTCACGATAAAAAAGAACAAAAAAGTTTGGGTTGAGGGTATGAAAGAAGTTTGATTGTTTTGATCATAGACATCTGAGTTTGAACGCCTTAAAAATCATTAATAATTGAAGATATTGTCCATTTTCGAAACGAATAACGTATGAAGTTAAAACATTTTAATTGTTCAACGTTCAAGATACAGTATATGACATGATAATTTATTTCAAATAAATAGAAAATAAACAGTAAGTGAGAAATATTCTAACTTGAAGATGAACCTTGATTTTAATTAGCTGACCTCGAAAGTTTGTAAGGATAAAAATACCAATGCCTTCAGACAGTAACATAAATAAATTAACTTTGAAATAGAACGTAATTAAATAAAAGCCTGTAAAATGTAAAAATAAATACGCGGCCAAAAGTTATTTGTTGTTATGATACCTATACAAATACATGCTTTCTGCCTTTCGTATAAACTTGGAGCTTGCATTTATCTAAACTGTTACGGGTCCCTAATGTAGTTCGAGAAAAGAAAAATAAGAAGCCGTTCACAATTTATTAAAAAAAAAGTAATACTGTTTTTCATATAAAGAACAACAGTCATTATTGGTCTAGCACGTGACTGAACCAAACAAATAGTATATTTCACTATGGATCAAGGTTGCACTATAATGAGTGCAAATATAAAATATATGATCATGCGTTATCTATTGTAATCAGTTCATTAACACCCAACGTTCCTTCTCACAACTATCTAATATGTGGGCGCAATTTGTGGTCAAACTTTTATTAGTTCAGAGTATTGAAATACCCTGTAACTGATTTACGTGTTTGCCAAACATATTTGACAAAACTTATCAAATTTTGCTAAATAATGTAATTTGCAATTATTTCTGGAGTCATATTTTCCACGTAGAACAACGTGGATTTTTTAATTCTAAATTTGAAAGTAAGATACCGGTGTCCTGCAAAGTTTTAATAAACCCCAAGCTACGCAATCGCAGTCCTCTTGCGACAACTTGCTGTATCTTAGTGTCACTGTATTGCATTATTGCCGCTGTATTAACACGCTGTTGTACAAAGAACATCACCATCATGGATCGTGCCTTGCAGGGAACTTGCAGTGCTGCCTATATCGTCATAAGCGAGTTTCATCACTGTGTATGATGGGCGCGGTTTGGCACAACCCCAAGTTACATTGGTGCAAGTTTCATAAGCGCATGATCAGGTTTTTCATGGGAATTCATGACTGTTGTAACGTTGTTCTTTAGTTGAGCTGGTTCTTTTGAACTATTTGTTGAAAATAAGACCAAGTCCAGTCTAAATAACGATAACAAAGTATTTTATTTCTTCTTTAAAGTTTCTACAAGCTGCCTTCAGTTGTACACTGTTATAACTTGTAGGCCTAAGTAAAGTTACAGATGTCGTTCAAACGGAAGCATCTTGTTAATGGTACTATGGCTATCGTAAAATATAAACCTACTTGTGCAATTTCACGACTAATCGCTCGAGTAAGTAAATATACGTGATAATCAACACTGAACCAAATATTTCACTAAAACGAAATATTACAATGAACTAAACTAGCTTGATGCTTCTCTGATTCAATGCTCGCCGATTCACGTATTTACAACGTAGCCTTGTTTCTAGACACTTCGCGAACTCTCTCGATCACTATCTTTCCGGTCGTTCTGTTAATAAGAGTTCTAGAACAAATGTAACTTAACTTGTCCTCTAGCAAACATCTAAATTAAAGCATTGAAAATATAACTTACAACAGTACCTTAAGTTTGCGAAAGTTTGTTTGTAAAGTGATGCACAAACATGGATTTTCACGACAAGGTTTTTCATACGGTGTTTCGCTCTTACAGACCAGCTTGCTACATGATAGATTCCTTGTATAAATCGAAATATATTTTAGTATTAGCTGGAGTACCCGTCCCCTGGACGGAAGTTATGTTAATTCATGATTAATGAAAGGTTATCTTAGGACATGAAAAGTTGCTTCCCTTATATGTAATTGTAAAAAACGCAAAAACGCCCATCAAAACTGCAAAATACAAATTATGAAACAGCAACTTTGTATGTATCTCCACATGAACCCAATAAACTTTCGCGCCAAATTTGATGAAGATCCATCAATAGGGGGCGAAGTAGTGGTAAAAAACGAGAAAATGCCCATAAAACCTGCAAAACGCAAAATGTAAAACTGAAAATTTCGCGCAAAGCTATACGAGGGCTATCTGCGCTAGCCATCCCTAATTTAGCAGTGATAGACGAGAGGGAAGGCAGTTAGTCATCACCACCCACCGTCAACTCATGGACTACTCTTTTACCAACGAATAGTGAGTGGGATTGACCGTAACATTATAACGCCCCTACAGCTGACAGGGCGATCCTGTTGGTGGGATGGGGATTCGAACCCGCGACCATCAGATTGCGAATAGAGTGCTCTAACAACCTGGCCATGGGCAGATTTTGACAAAATTGTTACGTTTCTAATTTTTCAAAAATATTTTGTGAGAAAGTATAAAATATACTTTAGGTAAGGACAAGAATCAGTTCGACTTCTCTTTCAAATTGCTTAAGCCATTCATACTGAATCCTTTACTGTTAGTTTATGTCAATCAAGTCAGTAACACCTATTCTCTTCCAATTAGCTCCTGTCAATCAAGCTAATCACATCAACTCTCTTACAGTTATCTAATGTCAACCAAGCCAATCACATTGAATATCTTCTAATTAACTCATATCAATCAAGCCAATCACATTGAATATCTTCCAGTTAACTCATATCAATCAAGCCAATCACATTGAATATCTTCTAATTAACTCATATCAATCAAGCCAATCACATTGAATATCTTCCAGTTAACTCATATCAATCAAGCCAATCACATTGAATATCTTCCAGTTAACTCATATCAATCAAGCCAATCACATTGAATATCTTCTAATTTACTCATATCAATCAAGCCAATCACATTGAATATCTTCCAGTTAACTCATATTCAATTCAACATTGAATATCTTCCAATTAACTCATATCAATCAAGTCAATCAATGTCTCTATTCTAATTAACTCATATCAATCAAGCCAATCACATTGAATATCTTCCAACGAACTCATATCAATGAAGCCAATCACTTTGAATATCTTTCAATGAACTCATATTCAATTCAACATTGAATATCTTCCAATTAACTCATACCAATCAAGTTAATCAACGTCTCTATTCCAGTTAGCTCATGTCAATCAAGCCAATTACATTGAATTTCTTCCAGTCAACTAGTTCGTGCCAATCAAGTCAATCACCGACAGTATTCCAGTTAGCTTCTGCCAATAAACCATCTATTATTTCGCTAAGTATGAAATTAAAGTATAAAAGGGATCT